AGGTTCTGTTGAATGACAATGTTGTCACTATACAACCTCTTCTCAGCTTTGATTCATCATAGTCTTTCTGTTTAAGTATAGCTGAAATAATTTAAGTGTTTTTTAACTCAGTTATATCCTAGTTTGTATGTTTGTCCACATTGTTGTGTTGAAAAAAAAAACCCAAAACCCCATAAACATTTATTTTCACAAATAATGTGAATTGTAAACACACACCAGTATTGATGTTATGCTTTAAACTCCTAAACCACAGTATATATGTATATATATATATAAATAAAGGGAGAGCATGGATGTAAACGTAATTTTTTTTTTTAATAATTTTAAATGTTGAGGTGCTGCTGAGTTCTTAAACTGTAAATAGGTTTTGCAGCAAGAAAAATATTTTTAAAGCTTTCTAGTTATGTTACTGAAATCCATGAGGTAGAGTAGCAGGGCATTTACATGTTGTGTGCTGGCTTAATTGAATGTGGAACTTGTAAATCTTCTAAATTCTGGTAAAATATTGCCCTGAGCAAACTAGATAAACAGATGTTTGCTTGATTCCAGCACCATGTAAATCTGTTTATTAAGGATGATGGGATCTTGACAAACTGGGAAGGATGGCAGTCCTGGGTTAATGAGTTACAAACCCATTTATATTTATTCAATGCTCAAGCCAGCTGGCAAATGCTGTTTGAATGTCTGTAGCTTCCTATTCTTTAATTTGAAGAATCTCTAAACCCTTTTTTAAGACTTCAAAATTATCTTTTAAACTTAATTTTAAAAATATAGAATAAACCTGACAATCCAATATGGTGCCTGTTCTAAAAACTGGGCCAAGTAATGAATAGAATATAATATTTTTTACTTGGAAGGGACCTGCAATGACCATCTAGTCCAACTGCCTGACCCAATTCATGGCTGACCAAAAATTAAAGCTAATTGTCCTAATGCCACTTGAACACTGCCAGGCCTGGGGCCTTGACCAGCTCTCAGTAAGAAGGAAGCCTATTTCAATGTCTGACCACCCTCTCAGTGAAGAAATGCTTCCCAAAGTCCAGTCTGAACCTCCTCTGGTGCAGCTTTGAGCCATTCCCACACATGCTGCCACTGGATCCCAGGGAGAGGAGCTCAGCAATGTTTTCAGTTAATTCCTGAGAAGTCAAATCCAAAAGCAGGGTAGTGGTAGTGAAGAACTGTAACTGGTGTTTCTTATTAATGTGTCTGCCATACGTAGACAGGCTAAACTACAGCTTCAGAAGGCAGCTTGTACTGTACATAACTGCTTTCCCTTTTTTGCTCTGATTTAAATCCTGCCTGCATTATAACTTTTAAACTGCTAACTTGTGCATTCTGAGTGGATACTAGTGTGTGGTGTTTATTTAACCTATTAGAAGTTCATGGTGCTCTAGGCAGAACATGTTTGTTTCCTAGCAGGTATTCACAGAACAGAGCCCTCTAAAATATATCAGAGAATTATTAATCCCATCTGGCAGAAGTAAAAAGAACACTGTCATTTTTATAGGAAAAATGTGAAAGTATCAAGTATTTTCTGTAAATTCTTCTGAAAGCCTTCAGTCTTTTCAAATTAAAACAAACAAGATCTTGAAAGGAGGAAAAAATAGCTGCCTTTCATTTGTGCCTCACGATGAGCATGGCCTGGAATTTGCTCTGAATTCCTCCTTACGTAACACGGGTGGGGAGAGATGTGGCACAGCTAGTGGGACACTGCAGAGCAGGGAGCTCCTTGCTCAAGCCATGCACAAAGAGGAGCCCCACACAGAACATCCTAAAGCACAGCAGTGAGTGGGGACAGAGGGAGGAGTGGCTCAGTTCCCCTCTGGACATTCAGCTGCCGCTGGACTCTCGATGTTCCCTTTTACAGGGTGAGTTTGGCTGTTGACATCACGTACAATACACAAAACAAGCTGTATTGCATAACCTGCTGAGCTCATTTAATTTGATAAACTACATGGATTTTACTTATAGGAATCCATAATATGTACTCATATCTTGCAAAAAAATAGTGAAGCCTTTGTGATAGGAAATTATATTTTGAATCAATATCTGTCAGATCTTATGGAAGAATATTATGAAAATCTCCTCATTGGGATTATAAATTGGCAAAGCACCAATTTAGAAATTAATGGATTTGCATGTATAGGATCACTGCAAATCAGCAATTAGTTTTATCTCTCCAAAAGAAAAATAAAAGTACGGAATTGCAAAACACTCTGCTCAATGCCAATGGAAACTGTAGGTTTAATTCCTGCTTTATTGTGCAAAAATATTGTGCTGCCTGCAAATATCACAAGTAAACCAGGAGCAAGGTCTGAACAGTTACTTTCTTGCTGATACAATTCAGCTTTATCTGTTCTGTGTGAAGAAGCTGAAAAACAAACAGAACTTTGGAATATCTTGTTTCTTCTGTGCCCAAAGCTGGGGAACAGCCCTATTACAAAGGCTTTCGTGCCAAGTTAATATATTAGTTTCTTATAGAGCGCGCTCACATCCACTTGCCTCACTGGCCCTGCTCCAGGGACACTTTTGTAAACTGACTGTCGCTGTCTGTCCGTCCACCAGAGACACGGCAGGAGCAGACCTACAGAGATGACAGTGACGCTGCAACCTTCAAGCAAACCCTCCCAGATCTCACCCCCGATGAGCCTTCGGAAGCACTCGGCTTCCCTCCCTTAGGGAAGGAGGAAGGGAGATGTGATCATGATGTGCCCAAAAGCCAAACGGAACCACCTGCAGTGGAAAATAAAGAACCCCAGTCCCAACCCACTGAGGAGCCAGCAACACCCACAGCTGAGGAGGGGACAGCAGCTGATGCAGGTAGTGATGAATCTCCAGGGAAGTCCCCATCGAAAAAGAAAAAGAAGTTCCGCACTCCTTCCTTCCTGAAGAAGAGCAAAAAGAAGAGTGACTCCTAAAGGCCAACCCACTGCAGAAACACTGTCATATTTTAAAATCCATTAACCACTAGAATGTACCAGATCGTACTGAGTGTTTTGTCTTACTATGTAAATGAATGCCACAATTAATCCAACCAGCCCCTCAAGTTATGGCTTGATTGTTTAGGGTTATAACCAGAAACTCGTGTCCAAAAAGGTGCTAATCCTGTGTGTTCAGCAGCTGCCACAGATCTGATCCCTAGTTTGTAATCAAATGTAAATGACTTCCATGTGGAAGGCATTGATTCACTATTTTTAATTTAAAGCCTGCACTGCTTTGCAAAAGAATATAAAAACTTCACAATTAAGAATAAAACACCCATTGCTTACCCACAAGAAGTGTTCTTTCCAATATTCTGTTCCAAGTCACAAGTAAATTTCTTAAATTTTTACTTTTAGAGAGGATGCTTTTGCAGTGGTGTTCTCAAGGGGGGTGAATTCTTGAACTGACACGTAAACTTCTGCGAGCTTGTGAGTACAGGTTGTGGTTTGGCCAAGCTTTGAGGCTCTCCATTGCTTCCTCTCTTTCTCCCTTCTCACTGTTGTTACAAAATGAAAGTGTTTTTCACTTTGTTTTATTTTATAACTGGCTGGTGAAATCAGTCTTTGTCTAGGACTGGAATGTCCGTGGTGTGTTCCGCTCACGTTGTGTGTTCAAAGAGCCCAGTCTTGGCCTGTTCTTTTTCTTTCTAGTGAATTACAGTTTAAGGGAAATCTGTCTTTGCTCTTGCCTCACTGAGTCATGTGGTGATTTGGCTGTTAGAAAAGGTTAAAAAGTAACTGAAGTAAAAGCTGGTGGTGTGGAGCATGGGCAGGTGTGTTTTGGGCCTTAGCACAGTTTTTTCATCCTTTTAAAAATCCCTTTGTTGCACATGCAGCCTTGCTGTGCATGAACCCCATGTGCAGCCTTTTGTGTTTGTTCCTTCCCACTGACAAAAATGTAAATGCATTACACTGAGTATTTCACCTTGTTTTATAGTAATTATATTTTCACTTACAAAAGCTGGCCTTTCTTTAAATCTTTTTGTTGTTGTTGCCAGCGGTTGAGTACAGAAATCCCGTGTAACCTCAAAGGTGTATTTTCACTGTTTGCTATAAATGTTTGTTTAATGTGCAGCATGGCAAATCACTCTTGCCACTGAGTTCACTATTTCCCAGTTATTGCCATGCTTGTGTCTATCACTAATTATAAAAGTAGTTTGAGATCAGGCAGGTCAAGGTGGTGGAATTCTCTGGAAAGCGGGTGCTGTGCCCCGGCCCAGGCCGCGGGGCACTGACCACTTCTGGTTTCCACAATTTGCATTTCGGGTTTAACAGCAGCAAACCCCAACACCCCGTGGGGGTGAGGGCAACACACTGACTCACAGTAAGTGTCTGTAACACAACAGAACATGGATGTAACCTTTTAGGACAATATTAAATGTTGCAATTGGTAAAATAGCAGAGAACTAATGCCTTACATTGATGCAGCAGAAAGCACGGAGGGCCGGCTGGGGGAGCGGCTGGAGGCAGGGCCGGGCCGGGCTGGGAGGGGCCCGTGCCTCGGGCTGGCTTTGGGCTGGAACAGCTGGAACTGAGCTGTCAGGGTTCAGGTGAGAGCAGAGGGGGCGAGGTGGCCACGGGGGCCGTGGGAAAGGTGGCAGGGCCGGTGTGGGACAGAGCAGGCACTGGGCAGAGCCCCTGGACAGCAGCACTCAGGCAGGACTGCATGGCACGAATGGCTTTCAGCTTCTGCTCTAACATTGTATGTCCTTGTACACTAGGAAGCAAACAACACTTATTTTGCTAAATTGTGTTTTATTGCAGGGTCGTAACTAAATGACTAATTGCTGTATGTTTCAGTTCTTTACTGAAGTCCCTCCATTTATCTTGACCACATATGCAATGACTCTTAATTTCTAATTTTGTAGTTTGTTCTTTTAGTTCTTTGTATTACAATATGAAATGTAGTCATGTATGGTATGGTTACACACTTTGGGGCAGAATAAAGTCCTGTATTTTTCTTTCTTTCTTGTATCATTAAGTTCTACTCACAAATAAAACTATTGAAAAAAATCATGCTCTGCTTTCAAAACTTGTACACTTTTATTCTGTAGCCTCACTTGCTTAGTTTTAATAATTAAGGTGTTGATTAGTGATGGCTTTCCTTCTCAGAAAATACTCCAATTGGTTACGGCAGGACTCCCTTCCCAGAGATTCCCAGCTCACCAGGGGCAGAGCCTGGTGGTGGTTCCTTCCCCCAGGCACTGGCTGGATCAGCATGGTGCTGTCATCCAAGGCTGGCTCCCTCAAGGAGCCCTTTGGCACCTTGGGTGAAATTCTGGCCCCTTTTTGCCTCAGCCAGACAGGGATGTTCAGTTCAGTTCAAAGGGGGGTAACAACTGTAATGAACTGACCACAGGAGTGTTCAATGTAACCCTTTATTGTAATGCAAAAAGAACAGGGCTTGGTCATCAAAAATATCCCACAGTATTAGAAATATAAAACATGTCTCCAAATTCATTTGTATACTAAAAACAGCCCACCTGTGCCAAAGTACCAGTGGGTTACAGACAGCCTGCAGAGTGCCTCTGCTTTTGTTTGACCATCACGTTTGCAGGTGTGGATGCAGCAGCTGCAGAGCTCTGGTACCACTTGTACAAACAAACACCCATCAGAGTGGTGCTGAGGGTGCTGAGGGTTGGTTCTGTGCCAGCCCAGCCCCTGCAGAGGCTCGGGGTGAGCAGCAGAGCCCTGTGTGCTCCAGGCCTGCTGCTCTTGTGCTGTTTCTGCTTCTCTGCTGCTCTTAATGCCTTACTCAGCTCTTGGCGAGTGTGTGTGTGTCTGTTTTCGTTTGTTTGGTGTTTTTCTATTTGCAAAGCTAACCCAGCTGGCTGGGAGGCCACCTTAAACATAACTGCTGTGTGTTGTTGGTCATTGTGTATCTTCTTATTTGCTCAGCAGTCAGGTGCCAAGAGTCAGGTCTCGCAGAGGTCCTTGGAAGCTGGTGCTGGTTTTGTGGTTCCTTCCTACTCCTCCTTTGTCTGCTGTTTTATAGACCTGAGTAGAGCCAAGGGGACAAGGAAAAAGGCTCCACAGATAGTGAAGCAAACCTCTGCCCCAGCCAGCCAGTAAACTGCAAAAGAAAGGGAATTCATCTTGTTACTGTGCTTGTCCTTGCAGATGTGTGAATGCCCTCAAAGCTGTTGTACCTGCACAGCTGAACAGATCTCTGACCCCTTGGCTGAGCCAGGAGCTGGGCACAGGGCTGCACTCAGGACACAGGTTCTGGCTTGCTTGGTGTTAACATCAGCCCAAGTTCAAGCTCTCAGGCTGCTTCCCCCTCCTCTGTCCCTTCACCTGAAATGCTCAGGGGCTCTGACCCCAAGCAGGGGATACCTGTGCCCCTTCTGCCCCCCCTGGGCTGGCTGGTGCCAAGGAGAGGAAGGAGCACGAGGCCACACTCACCTGCAGCTGCCAGGATGGGTCCCAGGGCTCTGGCCAGGGCGCCCAGGCTCCTCAGGATGCCCATGACTCGTCCCTTCTGGCCAGCAGTGCCTGTGCAAGCAGAGGGTGACACTGTGGGCTTTGGGCACGGCTGTGGCTCTGGGAGCTTTGTTCTTTGGGGTATTTCCCACTTGCCTCTTCTCCTGCTATCCTTTCACACCCAGTCCCCAGCCTGCCCTTGCCCTCCACCAAGGCCCTCACAAGTGCTTGACTGGGACAATTTGCAGTTCAAAACCCCCAAACTTATCCAAAACAATCCTTGCCCTCCACCAAGGCCCTCACAACTGCATAAACACCAGGGCCTGGCACAAATGCTTGACTGGGACAATTTGCAGTTCAAAACCCCCAAACTTATCCAAAACAAAATCTTCACATTGTACACAAGATTTTCTGAGAAGGCCCTGGTGTACAATAAACACAGAACTGTGGATGCAAGCTAAATAAGAGCAACATAAACATGACCTCAATGAGCAAAACCTTGCTTTTGCACCTCAGCAAGCACTGCAGTCCTGGCCCCCAGGTGACCCAAAGCTGTGTTATCCACAGATGGCACCCCAGCTACATCTGCTTTACAAGGTAACAGCAGCTGCTGCCAGAAGGTTTCAGAAGGTTCCTCAGATCTTTTCTAAGGAATCAGCAAGAAATTACTTCACTGCTGGCAGGGATGGCTGGTGTCCTTTACACCTACATCTGCTTTACAAGGTAACAGCAGCCGCTGCCGGAAGGTTTCAGAAGGTTCCTCAGAAGATCTTTTCTAAGGAATCAGCAAGAAATTACTTCACTGCTGGCAGGGATGGCTGGTGTCCTTTACAGAGAGCCCAGACTGTTCCCTCCTCAGTGCTGTTTGTGGCCTCTGCCCACTTCTCATCTTCTTCATCACCACCAGCAATGAGCTCGCTGCAGTTTCCCCATCACACTGGACTGAGCTGTGTTACACAGCACAAAATTCCAGTGTGATATTGATGGTCACTGATCATTGCTGTTGGTGCTGAAATTATCAGTTATGAGCCAGGCTGGTTCCCTGTGCTCCCCTGCAGAAGGGCCCCAGATGGATCCACAACTGTTCCTGTTGATGCTTCACTCAACTCAAGGTCAGTTTGTGCAATTTGAGCCAAGCCAGTGCAAAGGTCAGAGGTGTGGCCAAGGGCAGCTGGTCAGAGCAGGAAGGACACTCACCATAGCCTGACACCACTGCTGACAAACACGGGATAACAATGGCTGCAGCTGGAAAAATCCACACAAGAGACTGTCAGTGAACAGCAGAGCTCAGAACAGACAAGAACAGTGACAAACATGTGGCCCAAACTCGTTACTGCTGCAGAGAAATGTGCTGAGCTCTGGGCACTCTACCACCACTGAGTCACCAGGTTTAATCCAGGTCAGGGATGGGAACACCCCCTCCAAGCCAACCTGCAGGAAGAGCCCAGAGCTGTGAGTGCTGCAAGCAGATGTTTCACATTAGCATCCCTCGTTCTGTGAGCCCTCGGGACAGGGATGGACAGGGCAGATCAGCCAGCTGGCAGCTTTCCAAATCACTGTGCTCTTATCAGGAGGAGCAGGGAATTGCTCCGTTCCAAACAGACAATGAGGGGGCTGTACCGAGTGACACTGTCCCTGTGCAGGCAGGGCACTGGACTCAGGGAGGAGAGGCAGCTACAGCCTCTCTTGGGAAAGTCACATCCAAGAAGAAAAGGTTACAAAATTTTTTGGACGCAAAGATTTTGTTGTTCAGCAATCACTGCCCTCTTACTGCAATAGGGGCCTTTTCTGCCAGGAAAGAAGTGCCTCAAACATGTAAAGCAGGGGAAGGGAAGAGCAGGAATGATCAAAGTTGCTTTAACTGTAGTTGCCCCCACTGCTGGGCAGAGGGAGGAAGAGAAGGAGAAGAGAACCCCCCCAGGGTCATTTCTAGCTGACTTAACTGGGAAGAGATGGAGTCTGCACAGGAGGGGGCCAGGGAAGATCAAATATGGTTAAACATAATGAACACCCCTCTCACTCCTCAGCTGTCAAACACACAGCTGGCCCCAGACAGACAACAGGCTCAATAAGTACATTTTGTGGTTTACAGCTTACTCCCAAATCAAGCTGTACCATGCAAAGGGAAGTCCACTTCTGTACTAAGTCATATATGGAGCTGCTTAACAATTAGCAGCATTGGTAATACCTGAAATCTCTTTTCAGACTTCAAATAGATGGATCCAACTTCATTCATGACTGTTTAGGTTGGCAGAACAGAATTTTGCAAACACTGAAAACACCTGCCCCTCACTCTGAACACCCTCAGGGTGTGCAGGTCTCCAGCCTAAGAAATAATGCAGCACCCCTCGGCTACAAAGGTTCCATGTCTTGCTTTTGTTCCTGAGCTGAGCTATTTAGTGGATATTTTGCTTCTAGGTCTGCTAAGAAGGGGTAAAAAAAACACCCTCAAGAGCTCTACAGTGAGACAGGACAACAGGAGCACTGGGGATGCTTCCAAATAGCACCATGACAACTTCCTGTGATACAAACAGCATCAGGAAAAAACCCAGACACTGTTTCGTCCATACTTCATAAACCCAAGTGTCAACTTACTGTTACTTGTTGTTTGAAATTAAAAGTGCATCTTTTTTTAACAGTGTGAATAAATACACGAAGGAAAATCATTTGTGCTTAGCATGCAGTGCCTTTTGAACAGCTCACCGAAGGAGTACAGCAACAGTCCAGCACTCAGCATGGTCACATTTGCAGCCCATCCAATTAACAAGAACGCTGGAATCAGCAGCATCATAGCCTGCAAAAGGAATGAGTCACTCGGTTAGAGCCGAGCTCCAGGTGTCCTGCCAGCTCCCACGGGATGGGACAGCGCACAGGTTACAGGCTGAAAGCCCTTTCTTCCCAAGCAGACACTTCAGAGTCACCTGCACGGCCACACACCAGCACAATGAACTTTCTGCTCCCTCTCACTCTCACATGATTGCACATGCAAGTTCTCTCTCTACACTGCTGCTGTTTTGCAGGGATTTTTGTTCTTGCTCCGTGTTGACCTGGAGAGAAATCTGGCTTTAACTCTTCATCTCCTGAGCTGGCAGAAGGAAAGAAAAAGCTTGTGTGCAGCAGGACTACAGCTCCTCTGCTTTTTCTCAGAGTTATTGGCTGATTTTATCTTTAACTTTCAGGTTTCTGTAGGCAAGAGGAAAAAAGGGGGGAGAGGGTGCATCTAAAATTCAAACCCCCAAAATAAAAAGCATTCTTCATCTGCTCCAAGAGCTGGACTGCCATTCCCCTGTGATGCCTGCCTTTCTTACAGAGCCCCTGCAGAAAAGACAGATCAGATCTGCTTTGTGTGTGATAAAGGAGGGTATTCACTGCCACCGAGTGCCTCATTTTGAAGATTCAGTGATAAATGAGCTACTGTAACCACTGTGCTGAGAGAGGCCACTTTTGCCACATGGTGCAGATTCACAAACTGCCAGAATCACTTCAGCAAAAGGGGGAATTCCCACAAAAGCCACGGGCTTCCATGGAGAGGAGTCCCCAGGGCTGGGGGTCTCTGCAGAGCAGACACTGAGGGCGTTCTGAGGAGCCAGCAGCCCAGCAAATGAGTGGTGACAGTTTGAGGTGACAGTCCTGCTGCAGGGCTGGGGAAGGAGCATGGACATGAGAGGTGCAGAGGGCAGTGCAGTGCCAGCAGACACAGCAGGCTGACAGAGCCCTCGGGGGATGTGGAGGATGAAGCAGCACAGCTGATGTTCATCCACAGGGAAACGTGACAGCAGCAGCAGTGTCTGCCTGCCAGGGACCAGGGTGGAGGGAGATTGTTTCACCAGCAGAAATCACTTTAAGAGGAACTGAGTCAATTCACTGGAATGCAGTGGTTTGGAAATCTACCCTTCCACCAGTGAAATCACACGGGCCTCAAAATAATGTAAAATACATTAATCAAGGCTCTAGCAGTCCAAGCAAACCTATTGCCAAGGAGCCAAGGCAGTGCTTTGTTGGGTTCCACACACAAATGTAAAGGACACATCTACTGTCCCCACAGCTGTATAAACTGCAGGGAGCTGCTCCCTGCCATCCCAGCACAGCAGCTGCAGTATCTCTGTGAGGAAAGAGCCAAGCAAAACAAAGGAATGTACACTTCTGTCAGTGAAACCTCAGCCTGAACATTGATACATGCTTTTGTTACGTGTCAACAAACCAGATTGCAAAAAGAATCTATTTCTCCCTGCCCAGCAGTGAAACATACTCCAGGGAAAGCCTGTCAAGCATAAAGATAGCCAGATTGAAAATAATTTCCCAGAAAGAAAGTCAGAGATCAGCCCTGAAGCAGCTTTAGTAGTTTCTGCATTGCAAGAGAAACCACTGAAATAAAGCATACTCTTCACAATATTCTACCTAACTTGCACAGATCTACAATTTATTCTCATTCCTTACTGTAATTAAATATGAAGAACACAAAGTTTCAATAGCATTGTTGCTCATATCATAAGAAAGAGCTCTAATGTTCCAAAGTTTAGTTAGATAAGTGCCCAACAACCAGTTTTGAGAAGTCATTTAGCTGGATAGATGAGAGAGAAATTTCTTTTGATTGGACAAATACAGTTATAACCTCCAACTACCCTTCACTGCACTTCAGACTGAAAATTAACATATCAGATTTGTGGGAGGGGGAAGAAAAAGAAATATTGATTTTTTTTTTACCCTTTTTACAGCTCTGATTTCATTTCCTGGCTTGATTCGGCGAGCATAGCCTCCCTGGATCACAGCCATTGTTATTCCAATAAAGAAAAACATCTTGCCCTGCTGCATGCTGGAAGGGAGGCAAAAGCACAGATGAGGAGTCAGGCACGGAGCATTCCCCCCTGGGATCCACCACTCCTGAGCAAAGGCCACAAAAAGCTCCTGGGGCTCTCCCAGCTCTGCAGGGTCTCACAACACTGCCAGCAGCAGAGAGCAAGGAGGGAAGGCCCCAAGGTCTTACTGTAGAGGTGGGACAATGCTGGCAAGTGCTGCAGCCACCTCTGGGCTGCTCTGGGCTAGGTGAGGGTTTCTGGGGTGGCCCACAAAGCACATCGACGACCCTGAGCTGTGAACATCTGTGCATGTGCACAGGAGATGTTGGTTTCCAAGGTGCAGCTCATGGAGGGTTGGATGGAGGTCAGCAAGGCACAGCTGGTGTGGTCTTGTGTTACACTGGGAAGCCTGAGACATCACTCCCTCCACCTTTCAGTTTTCTTCAACTTTCCCTTTCCCCTCTCTCACTGACTGAATGATGTGCATATTCTCAAGCTTGCTGCCTCAGAGCCTGCACTGCTGGCACACAGCTCTGCAGCTCACTGAGGGCTGCCCTGAGTGCACAGGACACAACAGAGCTCAGAGCACTACAAAACCTCTCCTTGACACACGTGGGTTACTTAAGCCACAAACTGTAATGAAAGACAGGGAAAGATGAGACAACCCCTGAGAATTACTCAAAGGGAAGGACACGCACAGGAATCAAGTTGCAAGTTCACATTCCTGGCTGGAATTCTTCCTATGAGCTGGCAGAAAATGTATTTCAAGCTGAGCTGTTGGTGGATTCTGCTCTTTCTTCTCTGGTGGTTGACTACAGGAAGTCAGGCTCTGTGACATGACTGCACACCATATGCCATGCAGAATTTGCTGATGAGCAAATATCAGCACACAGATATCCCCCCATCCTTCACTTCTTTGAGCTTCAGTATTTGTCCTGATACCCAAAAACTCTTCTGAGCAAGAAAAGGTTTTACTATAATCAGTACAATTAGCACAGCTATACCTATTTCAGGAGCTTAAATTTAATCTTGGGTATTTATAATCCCTAGTTTTTAGAAGCTGTAGATGGAGTACTTTCTTTCATAATAAACATTGTGTCTATATTTCATCAATTCTTCTTACAAAGCCCAAATACCACTGAACACAGGGGTGGCTTTACTAATGTCAGAAAGCCTCTCTTGAAAATACATGAAGAGACCTTAAATAAAAAATTTGGAAAATATCCAAACATTTATTGCAATACCTGCTGAAGTGGAATCTCTGGTGAGTGAGAAAACTTAGTGTGTACTCCAAGCCAGAAAACAGGAAGAGGTACAGGAAGTAGGCCAGGCCCAAAATTTTGAGATTCTGAAGATCTGAAAAACAAAAAAAAATCCAAACAAACACCAAGGGGGTGGGAGGTGGGGAGAAAAACATGGTGGTGTTTTCCAAGCAAAGCTTGACAATAAAACCACAATAGAAGAGCAGCATTTATCAACTGTACAGGGAAATGTTCTCACCTCAGATGCTCATTTTAAATATCCAAACAAGACATGCCACAAAAGGAGTCCTACAGAGATGTAGGGAATCCTACATCTCCAAGTCGTGAATTGAGAAATAAAATTCCAGTCTCAAGTTCCTGGTTTGCACTTGAATAAGCAAACTCACATCTCCCTTCTCATGCCTTGATCTATCTTTAAATCACTTCACTTACTACAGCCAGTGGCTGAGGAAAACACAAATATCAAGTCAGAAATCTTCAAAACACTCATCTTCAAAATGTTCTTTTGGGAATAAAAGGACCAAAGTCCAGGGGAACTTCTGATTCCCTGTGCATAAGTTATTAAGGTGGGTTTTAAATGAGTCAACAGAATCCTGCTTCTGGAATGGCTTGAGTACAGTTTTCACTTAGAGGCCAGTGCCATACACAAAAAACCAGAGTATTACTGTAAAAAGCCATCTGACACTTACTCTGCTCTGAAGGGGATTCCTTTCCTCGGGTGTGAGGCCAGTGCCATACACAAAATCCACAGGGTATTACTGTAAAAAGCCATCTGACACTTACTCTGCTCTGAAGGGGATTCCTTTCCTCGGGTGACTGCAGAGAACTGAAACAAAGCCAAAGGACTGAGCAAGTCAACTGCTGCCTGAAATCCAGATGTCACAGAAGGGACCTGATCAAAGACAGAAAGAGGTTTATTTAAAACCCTAATGCAATAACCACTGCTAGGAGCTGACAGTAACCACCAAATGTGCCTCTACACCTACACAAATCATCTGAGATGAAACGAGGCACCTGGCACTGGGGTTTGAGTGGGCCCCAATAACAACCCAGACTCTGAACTCAGAACTGGCGCCTGCAGCTGAAAGGCAGAGCACTGGCAGCACCTTGCACTGCACACAGAAACTCTTCTCTGGGCTCTTACAAAGCACAAGTGGCTCCTTCTCCACAGCCTTGAAGGTGGCTTTATTTGGTTCACCTTTTGCATCATCACTCACGTCCAAAGAACATTTACTGGGAAAATAATGGCACATCTGCCTGCAAGCTCACAGGAAGCTGAGGATTTGCTCTTGTGCTACAAATCTGAGACCAGTATGTGCAGCACATCCAACACTGGTCTGCCTTGGTACTGGTTGCTATTTTAGCCAGCCAGTGACACCTCCTGGGGAAGGGAAGGAAAATATAATTTTTACAGAGATTCTTTGAAAATATTTTAGAGAAATTTCCAAGGAGATTCTGCCCAGCCACAATGGGTTGCTTTTTAAAGAGGGAGATTTATTTTGTAACACTTCTGGGCCTTGTACTGTGTACTTCTCAACCTAATTATGTACCTAGTGATACTCTCCCTGCTCCTTACCCACAGGCACTTATGCTTCTATCTAATGCTTATTCTTTCATCTATAGATAATTTACATTTTATTTGTTTTTTTTAATTCTAAAATATAGAAAATTAAAGAAACACTAATAATGTCTGAATTTTTAGAAATCAAATTACCTACATTATTAGTAAAACAATTTTTTTGAGTAGAATTTAGCTTGTCACTTTACACAACAGTCACAGGGAGAGATAAGACACTCAAGAATCCTGAATAATCACACCTTCAAAGCACTGCCCAGGCTTTATTTGATGAGTTCTCTTCTCAGATGGGGAGGGAGGGAGCCACCATCCCTTTGAGGGCAGAGCTTAAAGGTCAGATTATCAGTGGAATTTAATCTCAGTGCATGACCTGGGGACTCGTTAGGGGCTGGATTTAATGAAGCTGTAAACAAATCAACCTCCAATATGGTATTAGCATGGCCCCTGTCTTGTTTTGACAGTCAGAGCTGCTGAGTAGCTCACAGCAGAGTCTGGAGCCCATGAGTCCCACAACAGCACCAGTTCAATGGGCTGGGCTGGCCTGGAGCCACGAAGCTGCTGATTCACACAGAAAATACTGGGATATTTATCCTCCCTCCCACTGCATGTATTGCACACAGACACACCCAAGAAGTTTGTTCACTCTGTTGAGAGGTCTGAGAGGATTTCCTGGAGCTGGCCTGTGGCAATCCCCAGTTCCTGCATGTGTTGGTGGGTTTGCACTCCAGCACAGAGAATCTGGGCACAAGCAACTCCCTGCAAGCATCTTTGCCAGTAACAAAAACACCCTGTAGCTTGTACCTGTTTTGAATTATTATCCACGGCAGACAGGATGCCAAGCAGCTTTGCACAAGGCTGATTTTAGTTTTGTCCAATTACAATATATTGTAATTGCATATGTTTAAAATCTTAAGTGTTTTATGAAATATATACACCTATTTGATTTTTTAATGTAGGTGTGTTTGTGTGTGCACACATAATTTTTTTCAACTTCTCCTATCTTTGCCATAGAAACAGTGTTCTAGAAATGATTTAATCTACTGATGCATAATGAAAACATTGTCCTAAAACTGGCTAAAGAGTTTCACCATCCCCCAAAAAGTACACACTGCCAATTTCAGTCAGTGTCAGCAGCTGCATGAAGTTGAGTTTCTTCACAGGTTCAAACTCTGCAACATTAACTTGTATTTAATTTCTATGCTTATGATTCATTATTCCATAACTGCTCAATTTTACTTCATGACCATCCCAAAAGTCACCATGAATGGCTGGCATTTTTCAGAGTGTCTCTGCTCATTCTGTTTTCCTCTAATGCAGAGAGACTCAGTAGCAGGTCTGGAAGGCAGAGTCAGTCCACACCAGGAATTCAGCCTGGGCCTGCCCAGCTGCAGCCTCACCTCCAAACCAGATGTGTTTGGTATGCACAGAGCACAGCTTTGTCTTTCCACAGGGCTGCCACTGATACTGCAAAGCCCAGAAAAAAAGAGTTTCAAGACTCTCCCTCCAACTAGGCAGCCTTGCTCATGGCTAGCTTAGCTAAAAAACTAACTCAAAAGCTCTTAAAGGGGACAGATTCCACTAGAAACCTTCCTATTCTTCCCTTCTCCCAGCAGGAGCTGTTTTGGCCACCATGAGGCCAGTATGACTCTCTCGACCTGATCAGCTGGTGGAACAGTTGACAAAAAGAGGAAGGAAGAGAGTAAAAATGCTATTCTCTTGTTGTTCTCAACATATCCTCGTTTCTCATCCCCCCCCATTTTCCCTTCCTACAAGTTAATTTCAACATGAATCAATATGAAACACTCTGTCCTGTGAAAAGCAGACTGATAGAGAAACAAGGGTGTAACGAGAACACAGCAAACTTCAAGGAAACAGATGTTTGATCCCACTGGCACATCCTCCTGCCATTTATCATGATGATTTCACCTCTTTTTACAGCTTTGTCCTTCCAACATATTCCACTCCTACACCTGTGGGAGCACCTGCTCCAGCTCAGCCCAGCCAAGTTCCAGAAAGGCAGCCAACATACCTGCCTTTCCTCTGTCACCCACAGGCCAAGAAAACTGCTCAGAAAGTGGGAGGAATTACCAAAGAAGAGAGCAGAGCAGCCTAACAACTGAAATTACAAATATGCTGGAACACATGGATCACGTGCCCAGATGGAGGCTGAGAGCACATGAGCACAAGCCCCAAACCACTCTGTGATGAGCAGCCAAACTCTCTGTGCACTTTGTGTGACTGGGACCTGGCCCTGAGCAGCACCTCACTGCAGCACCCACTGCTGTGCAGGGGCAGAGCCCCAAAAAGCAGTGACAGAGAGCAGTGTTCAAGGTCAAGCTGGATGAGGTTTTGACCAATCTGGTCTAATGGAAGGTGTCCCTGCCTGTGGCAGGGAGGTTTGGAAGTAGGTGATCTTTGATCACCTTCCAGCACAAAATATTCTGTGATTCTACGATCATACAACTGCTTTGACACCAGCATTAATAATAATCCCAATCCCAGGAATGAGCTACATTTCTGAGACATTGGCAAAGCTTGTTCTTTGCTGTTTCAAATATTTCAACCGTTTTCAAATCCTATTTTTACAGAAAAACCAGATGTTGGGACTGATGGTCCATTTACCCTTTTTTCCTTGGGAAGTGTCTCTGGAAGAAGGAGGAAGATGAAAATGAAATCAGCCACAGAAAACACGAGTGCTGACAAGGCTGAGCGAAGGTAGAAGACTTCTCCCTTCTCTGCCTGCATGGCGAGGTAAGCCCCCATCATGGGGCCCAGGGTGAAGCCCAGGGAGAAAGCAACACCAATCATGGCCTGCAGGGATAAAATGAACACAGACACAGAATGTTAGACACCAGTTTTTTCAGGTTCTGAAACTATTTGGATTAACCAGGTACAGAACACAATCATCCTGAGGATGCAGGGAGTGCACAGCAAGGAGCATGAAGCATTAAAAGCCTCCTGTTTCCAAATAACCAATTTTGTTCTCTGTCTAGTCAGGGAAGAGCCAGGAACAGGCAGTGGCCCATCACTGTTTGAGAATAGCTTCACTCAGATGCTGTTTGCCTCCTAGAAAGCAGAATGAACATTCCTACTTTGCTTTGGAATAGAAAAGAATACCAGCCATGTGGATGTGACCCATGCTGCACTAAGTGACTTACTCTCAGGCCCTAAAAATAGGCCCTGACCCATTTTATTTACTAGTGCTGTAAGGCTATCTCTCTCCACAAATAAAAATGGTTTTTGGCTCCCCAGGATTATGATAATTTGGTTGGAAGATTCATGAGCTATCACTGTGAAATCTAAAGCCTTCCCCTCCCAAGAAGCAGCTGTCCTCTGTAGTGGCTTACAACAATCTGTTAAGAGAAATCTGGGCCTGAAGGTTTTTATAGGATAAAAGATATAACTGGTAATTCACAGGCCAAGTTCAGCCTGCAGGATGTTTCCATCTGTGCCACTGTCTTTTGGAAATGGATTGGGCAGCTGCTCATACTTCTCAGTCAGCCAAATGTCACATCCTCTACCCACTGAGCTCAGATCCTGAAGCCAGTGCAATGTGCAAGAAGTCAGGAGCACACTGTGCTGTGCTTCCACAGCTTGGGAAGGCAAGGAAAAGGGGCTGCCCTGTAACTGGCTTCCAGCTGCCAAAATTGGGCCATAAGACCTTTTGATTTCTAAGCTATTATAATCAGAATTAAAGTTACCAGCAGGATCAACAGTTCTAACACTGAAACAAGATACTTTTCCCATCTCTAGAGCATCTGTGTTTCACTTGTAGATGAAGGTCCTTGGCAGAAGTCCAGGGGCTCCCAGGAATATGGTCTGGCACGTTTCCAGAAGCAAGGTAGAATGTAAAGTCATGTTTTCACTCGATCAGTGAATACACACCTGGTGAAGGTCCTTGGCAGAAGTCCAGGGGCACCTTTCCATAAGCAAGGTAGAATGTAAAGTCATGTTTTCACTCGATCAGTGAATACACACCTGATGAAGACATACTGAGCACCCAAAATCAATTAAAAGTTGCCCATTAACACTAAACATGTGCCCTACAAGTGTAACTCACCATGCCCTTGCTGCGTGCTTTTGCAGAGTGCAGGTCAGCAATGATAGCTGTGGAGAGGCTGACATTCCCTTTGCTTATCCCACCTATGATCCTGGAGAGAAGAAAAACGCCAGAAGTCCGAGAGGCAGCCCAGAGTGAGTATGATGCTATCAAACCCATCTGCAGAGGCAAGAAAGGGTTCTTTATAAAGCAATGCAAAGTTGATGTCATCTCTGACCATTTCACAGCCAAACATTTGCATTTTTTGTTTGTTTTCAACGGCTGCCCCATGTAACTGAATAAACTGACACTTCACTATGTCTTGAACAGCAATATAAAAGAAGTAGAAACAAGTCCATACAAGCTACATATAATTGTGATATTTCTAAAAAAATTAGAAGAGCAAAATTTTGTTGAAGTTAAACCAGTCCTGGGTACAAAACATTTTTGTATGTCCCACTCCATTTGTTTTCAAATTCAAGAGAAATCTGAGCTCAAAATAAGAAGAATGTTTACATTCATAAGGAATGCATCTTGCAGTGCTATACAGAACTTCCTAACCAACAATTCCCATGCTCTGTGGAACAGGTCATGAAGTGATCAGCCTTCATTAATCACCTGATGAACTAAAATACAAAAGAATTAAGTTTAACATTTGTCAACAGAGCATCTGAAGTCATTCTCCCATACCCTAGGAAAAGGGGTTTTGGAAAATGACAGAAACAGATAAATATTTTGGTGTCATCTATGAACAGTTCTGGGTCTGGGAAGCTCAGTTTAGGCACTCACACTTGGAAGTGTGGCCAAGCGACTTGGCAAGAAAGAGTCAGCCAGCAGCAGACCTGGAAAATTCAATTCTAGAGCTGAACTGTGACTGTCACAATTCAGATTCTGTGCTAAGCACAAGATCGTGGTGGCTCCCACTGTGTGTTGAGATGCCATGACTAAGATCAGCATGTGACACATACCACTGTCACCAGGATGACAGGCCTTCTGCCCCAGTGGTCTGACACAGCACCGGTGAGGGGAGAGGAGAAAAACTGCAGGAGGGAAAAGATTGAGCCAATCAGACCTAAAAAAAAAAAAAAGATAAAAAGATATGAGTCATTAGGTTTGCTGCCTTCATCTTAAGTACAAAGACAGCCAAGCTGCTTGAGATCTATCACACTATGTGGGATAAAAACTTAAAATTAAATGTAAAACAGCAGCATTGTCTCTCAGAACACCAACACTGCATTGTTACTTAACTGAGGCAGCAAATACAGACAGACCAGATGCACAGCCTGCCCAGAGTAACAGGCATAAACTGGATTAATTCCTGATTACTTCACTGGTGAGAAAGGGTTTGAAACTCACTGGTTCTTATAGAATGATGATTCTCCCATGTTTCCCTGCTGACTACATACAGTTTTTGTTCTTAAAGCAGAGATAACATAGCCTTTAACAATCACAGTTCTTTTAAGACTTTTTTGATGGTTTGAACCTGATTCTGTCACACTTAATTAGTTTTTCTTTCCTTTTTATCATGGAAAGAAGGACTTAAGCACTGCTGCTAGTGAGGCACCCTAAGAGGTAGGAGTGATTCCAACAGACTCCAAGAGGCCTTTGAAATCTGCCTCCAGCCTCTGTGATCTTTAATTCCTCTTTTCTCTTGCCATTTCTAGCTTCATAGACTTATTAATTTGCACTACACTCTCAACAAGCAGGCAGAAGATGCTTTGCTGTCAGAGCTTTTCTCTAAAGGAAAAACTGGGTTATATGTCTGAGATCACTCAGCTATCAAAGCTTTAAAAGGCAGAGGAGAGACAGACCAGAAGTTCTGCTCCCATCTGCTTTGAGGGAGACAGAATATTGATACTGAACACCATGTCAGGAAGAGCTGCTTGTGATAACTCACAGCTCAAAAAAACAGTTAAAAAATCTTAGAGAATTTTACACCGGCAGTTTATGACACACAGTTCCCTTCATTGTGTTTCTAGCACTGTAAAAACACCCTTTCGTGCCAAAAATTTCCAAGCCAGCATGCAACAAAAACAGGGCTGTTCCTCAGGAGGGAAGGAGCTGAGGGTGACCACAGCACTGGCAGTGCCCTCACCAGCCTGGGTGCCCCAGAGTTTGATGGGCTGGGCAGAGCAGGTGCTGCCAGCAGGACCCACTGACAGTCCCACACAAGGCAAGGGCTTCAACTCCCTTCCAGGGAGTCCAGCCTGGAGTCAGGGGCAGAGAAAGGAGTGGGAACAACACTGTGATGTTGGTTGGGAGACAAGACACCTCCAGTGTGAGTCTGAGGCCCATCCCAAGAGATGGGGACAGAGACAGCCCTGGAGACAAAGTCTGAAACACAGCTCCTGAATCACTGGGCAGACAATGTGGGGTGATGACTGGTCACAGCAACTAAGTATTGGTGCCCTCAGGGCCCTGACATGGGCAGAGAAGTTTCTGCCTTGAAGAGCCTGCAGTCTAATGAAAAATAAAATATATGGCTGGCACTGGGAGAAACAACCAGATGATCTTGCAAGTGCCTTCCCAATCCTGTGCTCCTCGTGGCAGACGAGGGCAGTGAAGGAACACAGGCTGCAGCAGCCTCTGCTTAACATCACAACTATAATGAAACTTTCCACACAGCACTCCCAAGAGTGCAGGACACGGCAGGTAAAAGGAAAAGCAACAAGTTGGATTTGACTGGGAGTTCCCACCCCTTGTCTAAACAATCTGCAATGGTGAGAAATTGAAAGTAGGAAGCTTCTGGTCAAGCTTTAGAGAAGACAGAAAGCAGCTTCTGAGGGATTAAAGAAAACTGTTGCCTAGCATTCAAAGCCAGTAATTTGACTAAAAAATGAACAGAGAAATAAAAACATGTCTGCAGGGATATGGTGGGAAAAAAGAAAATGGATTATAAACTTCTTAATGCCTATATACCAAATTAAACTACTTTAAATAGTAACATTCATGCACATTCTAATTAAGTTTTGTGTTTCATTTTAGTTTATTTTAAAGCCTATTGCTTATCTTGGGGGAGGCCTCAGATCACTAAAAAAGGAGGGTAGACAGGGTCTAACTAAAATTAACCCAGACACCTTCATATCTTCATACTCTGAAATCACAGTTTTGTCACAACTGTCTAGATGGCAAGAAGGCAGAAGAGTCTCTGATGTGTAACATGACATACTTCCCTCACTGCTCCTGCTGGAGCTCATCCATAGCAGTGTCCTAGAGAGAGAAAATGCTTATGGGTCCTGCAATCCAGTGGCTCTGCTGCTTTTAATAAGACTAATGGGATTTAGGAGCAGTGCTGCACCACACCTGCCCAAGGGGCAAATGAGGCTGGAATGCACAAGCTTCTGTTCCCAGTGCTTCCTACTGATTGATCTCTGATCATATGCAGATCAGTTGTGAAGGGAGAGTAATTTTTGTGACTGCCAGGGCCCAGCACAGCAGGCTCCTGACCCTCAGCTGGCAGTCTGACAACAAGGAACAGCAGGCCTGTATTTCTGTAACAATCTGTAGAACAAATTGAGTAAGATCATAGCATAATTCAGGTTAAAAAGCAGCTCTGGAGGTCACCTACTCCAACCACCTGCTCATAGGGTCAGCTGTGAGGTCAGAGCAGATTGTTCAGGTCCTTACCCAATCAGGGTTTGACAATCTCTGAGGATGGACACTGCTCTGGGCAGCCTGTTCCACTGACCATCTTCACTGGAAAAATGTTATCCCCTATTTCCCACCTGCTTCTACTTACAGCTGTTGCCTCTCCTTCTCCCACACACCTCAGTGAAGACCCTAGCTCACCAGGTGTTAGAAAGTTGCCATTCACTGCAGACCAGCCAAGGCCCCAGACTCCACAGAACTCACCATGGTGTATAGGCACTCCTCCCTGGAGTACTGGGGACCAAAACTGAATGCAACAATTCAGATCTGGTTTATCCAGTGCTGAGTAGAGCAAGATGATCACTTCCCTTAATCCACTGATTCTGTTCACACATCCCAGGAGCTTTTGGCACCTTTGCTGCCAGGGCTGGCTCATGCTCAGCCTGCTGCTCACCAGGACCCCCAGGACCACCAGTGAGTGTCCAGTCTGTAGCACTGCAAGGACTACTCTTTCCCACAGGCAGGACCTAAAATCAGTCTTTATTGAATTTCACAAGGTTCCTGATATCCCATTCCTCCTGCCTGTCTAGGTGTCTCCAAACAACAGAGACAGGGCTGTCCAACTCTTCATTGCTGTCAGTGTGCTGAAAACAAAATAATTTATAATCTACTCTAAGAGACATTTTCTGTGTTACTTAAACCTAGAACTAATGACAGACAAGCATGCTTTTTGTATTTCTTGTCATTCTTCACATCAACATTGCAAATAACTTGGAAAGAACACTGTTTTTTGGCTGTTAGCTTGTTTGTTCAGTTTCCCTACCTCCAAACAAGACACTGTTGTATTTCCTCTCTGGAGGTATCCCAGCCATCGCTGCAAACCAGTCTACCCCACGTTGCAGTGACAAATAGAATCCATCCTGAAAAACAGATAACAGGGAAACAGAAGCAAGAAGACAGTTTATTTTCAAAGACTGTATCAGAGACTAGAGACGATGTGAACTACAGACAGTGTTAGATGATTCCTTCCCTCCTCCCCATGAGGGAAAATTTCCTCACTGATCAAAAATAGCTTAAATTGTGAATGTTAACAGACAGCAGATAGGATATGTTTGGGTGGGGAAATGTGAATTTGAACTTTTTCAAGCCTTCAGGCCCATTACTTGCTCAATCCTGAATTAAACAGGCTTGCTCTGAATCTTTCAATTAAAAACCAACATGAGAAACACTCTGTCCTGCTGCACATGTTTAGCCTGGGAGAGCCAGAAGCTTGCAGATGCAGAAAGAAAAGGTGGTGCAAAAAAAAAGAATGACTCCCAAAAAGAGGAGGAGTGCTTGAAAAGAAGAGGATCTGGAAAAGCAGGTGGAGATCTTGGCTATTGGAAATACACTGGAAATGGAGGAAGACCCTGGAAATCAGAGTCCATGGTTGGGGTTAGAGATATGGTTGTAAGAAGGACAATGCCTACAGCTGCAGCTGGAGTGGGCTTAGAAAGGGCTGAGAGACAGAGGTGTGGGCTGCAAAAACAATTCTCCCACAACAGCACGTTCATCTTGACCAGTAATGCCATTAACACCTGAGAGGGGTAACATTGAGCACCTGCACAGCCAGGATCCAACAGGACCTTCTGCCCTGCTCCTGGAGCAGCAGCCAGCTCCCTGCCAGGAATGGAAAATGAGATGGAACTCCCCACTGGGGGAGGGAGCAAGTGACCTTGTGAAATACTCAGGTGGGGTAAAAGCTCTCATCTCTTTGGTTCTTCAATAAACCCCAGCACAGAGATCCATCATGAACTGCCTCACCAATGACATCAGTGTAAGACACAAAAGCATTGGTAACCACAAGGACTAGTCCCTAAGAATTACTTGAATTTTTATCAAAACAAATCTCCCATTTTAATGAAAAAATAAGGGTGAAGAGTCTAATGCAGGTTGACAAATAAATTCACTCCATGCACCATTTATATGTGCCAGGTCATTATTAATCTTCTACAGCTGTTTGGTTTGCCCCAAGGCAGGTGATTTTTCTTCCATTCCTCCCTCAAGATCCTAACACTTTCTGTGGGCTGACTTTCTTGTTACTTACCTCAGTCTGGCTGTAATAATCAAGGATGGAAGGAAAGAGTGGCAAGATGAGGGCAAATCCCAACAGGTCGATGAAGAGGGCCAGGAAGACAATTGTAATAACACGATTATAGTTCTGTTCCTGCTTGTCATTGCTGGAGCTGCTGCTGGTTCCTCTCTCTTGCAGGGCCATGTTCCCAGTGCTCTGCTCCTAAAAAAAAATTGCATTTATATCCAGTCAATAGGAAGCTTTTTGCAGGCCTTTCATAGGAGTATCTTGCAGAGTCCTTCCTACTTTCCACAGACTGCACAAAAATAAGTTCTGGTTATATTAAGCTACCTGGGAACAAGGGAACAAGAGCCTCAACCCTCTAGTCTTGGTTATTAGCTCAACACCAAATTTTCTCCCATCAAGAACAGGCTACAAAGGCAATAAAACAACAAAATCTATTATAGGAGCACCTCAAATGGAACAAAACTAAGGAGCATTTGAAGTTTGTCAACACATGAGCAACACTAATATGACTTCCCTACATGTTTTCAACTCAGGATTACAGTAAAATAGGAATGAAATGGCACTCTAGTCCAAATATTTACATCCAAGTAAGTTTATTTATGCCTTCAGTGTATACTAGAAATGACCAAAACAACAATTAAAAAAAGAAAAAAGAGGCAGACTTCCTAACTATTGCAGGAATGCGGTCTTCAAGATAAACCCCACAGAGCAACACAAGAAACAACAGAAGAAAATGTTTGAACTTCATCTTTTATTTCTTTCTCCAGATGATAGCTACTGACCTGGGGCATCAAATTATTAAGGCAGCATTTTTATTTTGTCAGAAATACCAGAACTATCAACTCTCTTTGATAATACTCCAAAACTATCTTAAAGCCCTAAACAAGGATGCAGACCATATATAGTTCAGTCTTTAACAAATAAAGGAGTTGGTCTCAATCCCAAAAATTAACTCATTTGCAACATAAATCAAAATCAAGGAGTAATATATAAACCATGGAACTGCAAACTTCAAATTATAAAACATACACGATATCTTAGTCATAAAAGAATCAAATTTACAGTCCCCTCTGCTGCAAAAGACCCTGAAAGTTTGTTGGACTAAGAGTAAAAAAGGAGACAGAATTTCATCCAAAGCAAATTAATACAAAAACATTCACTGACTTTGATGAGTCAGCACTGAAAACAGTGAGTAATTCTTAATATAAATTTTATTTCAGACCAGATATACCACATTACATACACAAGGCACTTGCACATAGAAAGCCATACTACACTAATTGAAGGCTATAACACTTTGTCATGCTCAGCAGTAAATATTATTGTGACATTTCGTTACCTATGAAGTCAGTTTAGTGGCACTGATGCATTATTAAAGCTCAATTGCCAGGAGGTAAATAAACATGGAACAGGGGCCACCTGCAATCCATTTACTAAACTCTTGGCATAATGCTCTTAACCAAACTGGCCTGATTTAGCAGATTTATGTTCAAGATCCTTTTATTTAAAATGGTAAATCATCACCGCTACAAATATTCAGCATTATTTGCTTACCCAAATGATAAAAGAGCACATGGAGCCAAAATAACCATTCCTTTAAGCAAACCGTCTCTGGCCCTAGGTCTATCCAGCCAACAGCTGAGGGATGGGTTCACTGAGGCAGACTGTATCTTGGTTTTCCTCACAATTTGTTTAGTCATCCACTGAATTGTATGACCAAGCTGAACTTTATTCCAGGGTTATTTACAAAGATAACACTCTTCACACCTTTCCCTCAGGAACATTTCTGCCAGCGTGCAGCTCGAACCCATGGATGCTTGCGCTGACCTTTCCCTCTGCTCCAGTTTTGGCTGCGTGGTTGCAATTTCCCTTACGCAATATTCCAAGGTACTGCACGTTTCTGCCTTTGTGCTCCATCGGTTTTGTTGCTCAAACCTCTCCGTAATTTTTTGCTAGGCAGGAAACCACACAACATTTTACAGGCCCTTGGCATCCCGACAGCAAAAACAGAACCCTTCACCTCCACGGCGGCATCTGCCTGGTGTGAGGCGCGCAGGGAGAGGGAGGGCTCTGGCTTTGGGGGAGTTGTTCCCGGCACACGTGAATCCCTCACAGCCGCTGGCGTCCCTCACAGCCGCTGGCTCTGCCCGGCTCTCCCCAGCCCTTCCCTCGGCATTCCCCGCCCGTCTCTCGTCGCTTCTGTCCCCGTCCTCAGGGCCGGGGCTCCCAGGAAGGGATGAGCACCAAAGGGGGCCCTGCCCGAACTGAGATTTTTTATCTGCCAGCAGCCACAATTTCATCCTTCGGCGCTTTCCTTACCTCACCTTATCCCCTTGTAAAATTTCCCGGGCCCGGCTTTACCTGCTCAGCCCCGGGAGGCTCCTCAGCCTCCGTCCCACAGCCCCGGCTCAGGTCAGGGCCGGCGCTGGCCGGGCACGGGGACAAGCCGCAGCTCCCCAGGGCAGGGAAGGGGCGGCCCGGCGGAGATCGGGCGGAGGGCGCGGGACGCGCGGGGACCGGCCCGCCGGGGGAGCCGCGCCCAGCCC